AACACCTAATAGGAAATAAAAATACGCTCGCGCACACAGATCACTGAACACACTGATTAAGTTGTGCTTCTTAAACGCAGAAGTTGGGATGCGTTTCCTTTGGGAAAAGCGGAGGAGCCTCTGTGACCTTGGTTTCTCTGCGAGGGTTATTCTATCTGAAGAGCACAACTAAAAGCAAAAACGAACAAACAAACAAAAAGAATTGGGACGGTTCGATTTCAGTCCCGGGAGTGCACTTCCGGGAGTTTTCTCTTTCGATGTCGTAGAGCGTCCAGTCGCGCAAACAAGCGAGTAGTTGTTACGCTCAAAAAACCGTTCCCAGAACAATTCTAAGAAAAAGCAACCTTTCGCTCACCGTCAAAAAACACCACTGAGGTATTCCGAAAAAGAAAGAAAAACATTGAACAGCTTTTGTTTCAGTTTTTACACGCAAGCAAAAAGGCACTTCGTCCTCGTCCAATTTGTTCCAAGTATGAAGAAACAGTAAGTAAACAGGCGAGCTGGTTGATGTTACACATTTTGGACGAAACCGGAAACAACGGACGAAGAAGTGAACAAACACAAAACGTCTCAAACGCAGTTACAAAACTTCATTGACACAACCTTTCTACGAGTTGCGTCACTTTCGCCCTGTTAGTAGTTTTTATTCACGATAATTTAAAAAAAAATGATTGCGTAGCATTTTTGTTCATTTCAATTTAGACGTGTTTTTTTTTTCCTCCTCTTATATCTTAGGTGGTAGCGTGGCGCCGTACGTCAACACTTTTTAAAGAATATTTTTATTTATTTTAGGTTTGTTGTAAAAAGAAACATGTTTTTCGAACATTGCTTTATGTAACTAAATTTGAACGTCTAACTGTATGTTAGGATTGCAGAGAGCGGTACTTCAATTGATCGGTGTTGTAAACGCTGCTTTTTAAAAAAAATGAAAGCCGTTTACAACTCCCTGTAACGCCGGATTAGAGCGCAGCTCCTGAGGAGGAGGATGGGAGGGTACTGAGGGATATGGGATGGAAGGCTACTGAGGGATAGGTGACTCCCTGAGGTCACGTGACCTCAGGGGGGTTCACGTGACCTGAGGGGTTCACGTGACCTCAGCAGGGTCACGTGACCTCAAGGATGGTCACGTTGCATGAGGGGGTCACGTGACCTAAGGGGGTCTCAGGGGGTCACGTGACCTCAGCAGGGTCACGTGACCTCAAGGAGGGTCACGTTGCATGAGGGGGTCACGTGACCTAAGGGGGTCTCAGGGGGCCACGTGACCTCAGGGAATAACCCTCATGACCCTCGTGAGGGTAACCCTAGTAAGGGTAACCCCTCGTGACCCTCGTGAGGGTAACCATCGTGACCCTCGTGAGGGTAACCCTAGTAACCCTTGTGAGGGTAACTCTCGTGACCATCGTGAGGGTAACTCTCGTGACCCTCGGGGTAACTCATAACCCTCGTGACCCTCATGAAGGTAACCCTCGTGACCCTCGTGAGGGTAAGCCTTTTGAGGGTAACTAACCCTCGTAACCCTCAAACTCCTCGTGAAGGTAACCCTCGTGAGAGCAACCCTCGTAACCCTCACGAGGGTTACGAGGGTTACTCACGGTTACGCCGACGGCGACGCCGACGGCGACGGCGACGCCGCTCAAGCCGGAAACGGGCGCCTTAGAGCTGTGCTCTAAAACTAATTGAGTTCCGGTTATGGTTCCCCTATTTAAAATGTAACAAAGTTACAAGTAAAGTTACTACTCAGTCAATAAAGCTAATGAAATTACACTTTTATCCAAAGAAGTTTTCGATATACATTAGACTACAAGCGAGTCACAAGTTCATAATGAACTTTTTTTCAGATATTTTATCACAATTTAAAATGAAAATAAAAAGGTGATAATCCAGGGTACCTAAGCTGCGCCCCAGGGAAGTGAGCTCCTAAGAGACAAAAACAGGCCCCTAAAGTTCAGATATCGGCCTTGTGCTGACGTATAGATGAATTTGAAGCAATTTTAAATGTAACCGAGATGATTTTAGAAGTTATCAAAAAGCCAGAACTAAGTTATAACGAAAACTAGGCTACCATAGTAACTCAATATTGCAACTAGTTACAATAACTTTGTTGATCGTAATCTGATACTTTGCAAGTTTGGTCACACTGTGTACAGTCGCACTGAATGCATTATGAGCAAATGACAAGCGGGCTGTAAGCCAGTTAAAGCTTTTTTTATTAATAGTTTTTTTTTCTTAGTTACATTTCCCGGCAACCTTATTTTGATCTGGAGAGTTTACAATATGAATAGAAGTATAAACAAGAGAAAGGCCGCAACTCACTTCTATTACAGTTTTAAGAAATGCGCGGAAATTCGAGAGAGAAAGAGAATAAATTAATGTCGTGTAGAGATAGGCAGCGTTAAAAACGGCAATGTTCAAGGTTGTTCGCCCGGCACAACAGCCGTTTGGTAATACGCGATACTTTTAGTGCATGTGAACTTGCACCGTGCTTCATCAAAGCGTGATACGGCCACTGTACTAATACATTAGCGAGTTTTAGAATAGGGGGCCCCAGAGCTTTGGGTGCCCCAAACAGCTTGGGGCGCCCCAGTGTGCTTGCGCAGAACTTCTGCGCATGGGCACTGGGGCGCCTCAAGCTGTTTGGGGCACCCAAAAGCTCTGGGGCCCCCTATTCTAAAACTCGCTATTGTTTGTTATTCTGGCTGGGCATTAATAGCGAACAAAGCGCATTTCATGAAGTACGTGGTCGTCGTGACCTTCCCCATTTCCCCGTTTTTTATTCGTCTTGCCTATTTCGTCTCGGGGATCGGTGGCCGAGTGGGCTAGCGCAACAACGACCACGTGGAGCGAAACCTCGCGATGCAGAACCCAGGGATCCTGGGTCTAATCCCCACCCCTGCCCGTTTCAATATGAATGAGCATTGTACCGGTGCGCCTTCGCTCATCACCACTGCGTGGTGCACATTAAAGACCCCAGGCTAGCGGTAGTACTGCACTGGCTAAATTTCTCATCTACAGCTGGGAGACTCGTCGCCCGTTGAGGTAGACCAAGTTCTAGGCTGTATAAACATACACATAACATTCATATATAATTGGTTAGGGTTTTAATATTCGAGTCAACCGTCACCAAGAAAGCCGATGTGAATTGCACCGGCTGAAACCTCTTGTAAGCTTTTATAATTCCCAGTACCTGCATCGCAGGAGAACTTCGACCGTGATATATCGTTTTCGTAGCGAAAAACTACGAAAAACAGGTTTGTGCGGTCTTTATTGTAAGCTGTGCAATCGCAGTAAAATAAGCGTACGCGGGTTTAAAAACGATACTTTAAACGAGCCTCATGGAAATCCAGACTCAGCCATAAAATGCACGTGACCAAGCTTTAAGTAAGACATAGTTCAAAACGGAGACACGGAAATGGAGGCAGAGGACAACCTCACGCCTCAATCATCATGTCAAGCTGTCATGCGTACAATGTACGACTCAATATATCATTCTGGAGATACGAGGCGTTCCCAACGTCTGCTTGACGTATTATATGACTATACGATGTGCGGCACGTAAAATATCACTCACGAATAAAAAAAAAAAAAAAAAAAAAAAAAAAAAAGTCGATGTAAATTTGATTTTTTATTTCAGAACGAGAAAAGAAGGCAGGTGGAAACCAAAGCAAAGCACGTTATGAGCTTCTTTCGAGTCCGTTTTATTCCGTGTTCTAAACGCCCTGTGTTAGGATAGAATGAATCATGCAGCGTAAATCGAAACAGCACCCAGCCTCGCCGCGCGCTGCAACGTGGGATAGCCGTGGGGCCCCATGGGATTTTTCCGAAGAAGGCTATTAGCGCGAAAAAGAATTCGGCGCTTTTCTTTCCTGTTTTGTTTCTGTGTTACTCACAAAAGTGTTTGTGAGCTTTAAAATTTACTGCCTAAATTGGTGTTTCGGTGGCGCCCTCTTATGGTTCCTAACACTGACGTCACAAGTTCGATGGTGCGTAAAAAGTGCGGTTGAAGTCATCACGTTCCTCAATCAACCCCGTCAAAGTTGAGAGTCTGACTTTGTTCTGATTTCAATCGATGAGAGCAGAACTCATCCTACTGATGACGTCACAGTGAGCGTTTGACCAATTGTAGAAGGCCGATGACAGCGACGCTTCAGGTCGCGCGCGTCGCCAATTCACCCTTAAGCTGCGACTGCAACCAACGCCACGAGCACGAGAGCTCGTGATGACTCCTTCGAAGCGTTCTCGCGCAGAACGACAGCTCGCGCTAGAGATGCATGTCTCAAATCGAGGAGCGCGGGATAGCTCGCGCTTGTGACTTTGGCTGCACTCTCAGCTTAAAGCGTGTTTCACATGCAGCGGTTTTGGCCCTAGAGCGGCGGGATTTCTGCCGTCGCGGCGCTCTGGCCAGCACCAGCGGTTGAGCGGCACGAGCGCCGCGACGGCAAAAATCGCGCCGCTCTAGGGCCAAAATCGCTGCATGTGAAATACGCTTAAGAGTGAACGAAGTATAGTAAGCTTTATGATAGCCTAGCTCTTCCATAAGACAAAGAACAAACACTGACAATCATCTGCTATGGCCACTGACAAGGTGAAAAAGGCAGGGAGGAGGTTCAGTTGTTCTGCCTATAAGGAGTATTCACTGGGCGCCATATTTGTGGGTGCTGTCTAGAGCGCATGCTCAGAACGAGCCCACATTAATAGGCTGCTAAGACCGGCACTCTTGAGGGTGCAGAATCCACGTTACAAAAGAACTGTGGAAGCTAGCCATCAGCACGCGCTCAGCATTTGCGCACACATCTATGGCCGCCAGTGAATACTTCCTATAGCGCGAGCTTGCCACGTTCGACAACACCTCGGCATCTCGTGCGGCGGCGGAAGCATGGTGGAAGGCACGGAGCGCATGTTTACGGCAGGGTGTCCAAAAGACTCTCCTTGCCGTTCTTATTCCATTGGCGACTGCAACTACCCTCTGTACAAGAAGAACGACCGAAGATCAAGAAGCTCACCTGTGGCACGCTACAGAGGAGACTGATAATCCAAGCCCAGGAAAGCATTATCTTCCCACGCCGTTGCGCGTCGTTCACCTTGAGAGGATGCAGTACGGCGAAGTAGCGATCCAGGCTGATGCAAACTAGGACCATGGACGAGAGGTAGGGTCCAAATGCCCTGAGCACCTGCATCAACTTACACATGGCGTTTCCCGCCCTCCACTGCACAGTCAGTCTCCAGCCGACCTCGAGCGGAATCATGACGAAAGTGACGATGAGATCTGCGACGGCGAGGTTCAGGATCATCAGCGTGATCCTGGACTTTCGGTGCCTCTTGCTCAACAAGCTCACGAAGACCGGCACGTTGCCGGCTGCGGCCGCGACGAAAAGCACAGTGTAGACGATGACCTGCACCAGCGACTGGGTGTTGAAGGTCAGTTCTTCCGGGAGGAGCTGGTCAGGACTGGATATGTTGTGGAAAAAGTCTCCCCGTTGGTCTTCTGTAGAAGTGTTTATGCTGTGACGAAACTCGTAGGCAGCTTCGAAAGGAATCGCCATTGTCGAACAAACAATAATCACTCTGTGCAATCGCGCAACTGGTGGCAATAATGGTTTGAGCAGTCTTGTGTAGGTCCGGATCAAACAAAAGTTGTCAGACTCTTCCGATGCCTGTGGCGTTGAGGACCTTGCGTGCTGTTCTTGTCGCCGTGAGTTCTTTAAGAAGTAAAAGAATCCTCCAGTTTTACACTAAGGTTTCACAACCATCTTGAGGACGAGTTGTAGGTCATGCCTCGTTGGCGGCTTTCCACCATATCCAATGTAGTCGCTCCAGCGGAGCGCCGCTCGGTCACAAACGCTGACGCATGATTGCCGAGTCATCACGCTCCTTCTTCCAACTTCCCTTAGACTGATGACGCAATAATTTCGATGTAAAGTTTCGAAGGCGATGGAAGAACTCCGTCGAATTTGCGAGGCGCCGATGCTCAGGGTATTTCACAAGTGCAACTTAGAAGTTCAGAGTCTTCGCGCCCGAGACTCTCAGACAGAATCATGTTGCGAGATTATGAGGGAAGGTGGTATAAGGTGACGGAAGACACTCTTAATGGGTGTCTTAGGGAATCTTTTTCCACCGCTCAGATGTTTTCCAAGGAAATCTTCTTCCAGAATAAGCCGTGGACATCTTCAAGACTACCACTCGGAGCCAGCGCACGGCCCGGAGTTCAAACCGCGACTGAATGAAAGGCGCGAAACGGTCCCAACACGTGATCCGGCGGGAAGCTGAGAGAGAAGGATAAAGAGAGGGCGAAGGAAAGTAGAAGGAAAAAAAAAAGAGGGGGAACAAGTGGGTCCGCTGCGCCGTAGCGTCGAGGATCTCCACATGCTCATCGATTTTGTCAAGTAGCGACATCTAGGGACGATGGAGCACTCTCACTCCTTTTTGCGATGTTGCATGCTCTTGGGAATCCTTTATCAACATCATGAGGCCATGAAAAGCTGACGCCCATAATTTATATTCAACGTAGCGCAGGCCGTCACATCTCGAGGCTGCGCCGTTGATGCTACTATGAGGATGAGATCTTTTGAGGCAGTGCACGTTTTTGGTGAAGGTCACTCGGAAAATACCTAACCGTGAAAACGAGACGCGAGAGCCAAATGCCAAGTTGAAACGCAAAACTGCTACGACTGTGAGGAAGCAATACACAGCGTCACCGCCTCAGCAGGGTCCACTCGTGGGTGACGGTGATTGACTGGCGTAAGCGATCACGTGACCATAGCGACAACCAAGGGCGTCCTTCTGGGAAGTGGCGGTATGAGCTTCGAGACGTAAACCACTGCACCGAGATTTACCGGTCCAAAAACGTATTCCTCGTATGACAATCTTGTGAGGTCGATGGTAAAGCTTCGCACTGAAGCTTTTTCCCCGCTCTATTATTTCTTAAAAATAGAAAAAAACATTGTTATTACGATGATGATCAAACATCTGTCCCTCTTTCACTTTCTTGCTTAACACTAACCACAATACAAAACAAGAAACAGCAATGTAGTGATCTGTTTGTGTCTTTAAGTGTATTCATTATTTCCTCGTTCTTTAACCCTCGAACAACTGGTTGAAAACGGAATGTCTGAAACTATTGAAGGAATGAAATAGATGAATACTGACATCTGTCCGACTTCAGAACGAAATATGCCAATGAAGACAAAACAAGAAACTTGACGGCGAAAACTTACTGTTTATGTTCACTCGTTCTGTTTGTGTTTCAAGGAGAATCTAGTGTTTTAATTATTGAATGTCGAAGAGCCTCTCTTTTTACGAACGTTTGTTTTCTTTCTTAGATAGCGCAACTCAATTAATCAATGAGAAAAAAAAACTTGTTACTGAAGTCGTGTTGACAGTAAATGTTTTTGTTTCTTTTTTCTTTAAAATTAAAATGAAGGCACAAAAAACTCGAAAAAAAACAAGGGTAAAAAAAATTATGTTATTGTCCTTGTGTTTCTTTTTTTTTTTTTTTTTTTTGGTATGGGGGATCGATGGCCGATTGCGCTAGTCCCACAGCAGCTCGGAACACGGGGAGCGAAAGCTCGCGCTGCAAGACCCAGGGATCGCGGGTTCAATCCCCACCCCTGCCCGCTTCGTTTTGGATCAGCATCGTACCGGCATCTGGTGGTTTAACCAGTACTGCGTGATGCATGTTAAAGACCCCAGGTTAGGAGTGGTACAGCACTGGCTGAATGTGTCATCTACAGCGGGGACACCGAACGCCCACTATGGCTAACTTCCCGTTCTCTAAACGAACATGCTACACATTTTTTTTTAATGTGAAAGCTATTTCTTGGAGCGGAGCCAGTGGCGTCTATAACCGCAAAAAAAAAAGAGAAAGAAATGCCTATTATACTATTGGCTGAGCAAAACGGCTCCTAGATAGCCATTGGCGGCCACTTGACACAGCGCGCGCTCGGCCGCCGCTCTCGCGGCAGGCGTTGCCGGAGGGCTGCGGCCGCGCCACGAGAGCGTGCGCTCGGTCGCCGCTCTTGTGGCAGGCGTTGCCGGAGGAGTGTGTGTGTGTGTGGGGGGGGGGGGGGGGGGGGCTGCGGCCGCTTCACGATCACGCGCACTCGGCCGCCGCTCTTATGGAAGGCGTTGCCAGAGAGGGAGGCTGCGGCCGCTTCACGAGAGAGCGCGCTGGCCGCCGGCCTCAACCTCGGCAGTAGTGAAACGTGGCTAGGGTATTAGGAAGCTACGCTTAGGGTGCCGGCACTCCGTTTCCGGATCTGCTAGTGGGCGCCGCCATCTTACTGCTTAGTGCAGAACAGACGCAACTGTCAATTGTCACAATTCAAAAATGCGACTTCCTTAGCTTTAGATGCGGTATTAGGAAGCTCCGGTCATATCGTCTAGCATTGTTGCTAACTGTCTGAACATTTCTGGAGGACGAAAAAGCGTTTCCTGCGATATCAGATAAAGCATCAGATAACTGGCAACCATGATTTTAAGCACTAAGATGGCTGAAGTGTAGTTTCTATAAAGCGTAGCTTGTTTAGTGGCTCTACTCACAACTATATGTTTACTGACAAGAAAAGAAAGAAGAGGAAGGAATGATCCACCCAAGACACGGGCATCTACCACCAGCAACGTGAATGACAGTGGCTCGTTCATCCACGCTCGTGCGGGGCCTTCACTGTCTTGTGTAAAAATTCTCTTTCCTTCTTTATAGCGTCACTAATTCTACTCTATCAAACAAGGAAAGAGAATTCCTACACCGGACATTGAAGGCACCCTCACAAGCCTGGATGAAAGGGCGACTGTCATTCACGGGGCTGGTAATAGATGAACGTGTTCGGGGTGGATCATTCCTTCCTCTTCTTTATTTTCTTGTTAGTAAACCTATATAGTTGTGAGTAGCGCTCTTCTCTGCCCTGTTCTTCATCTCATCTCTGCTGTGTGCGCTAAATACCTCGACATGTTACCAATAAAGGTATGCGTCCCCGTATAACTTTTGCACAAATTAACGTGGAATTCTTCTCGCTCGAGTCGGTTGCACATATCGTGATAATCACGTAGAAGAATGTGCGAGATACATTGTCTGCATAGAATATATACGTAAGGTCGGCTCATCCCTGAGTGTGCTCAGGGCGGATCCGCGTTTTAATCGGGTTAAGTAGCGCTAGGTGGGATAATTGGACCTCTCGCCCGTGAAATTATAATTGCAACGCGGGTGAGCTCGGATAAGAGGCGACATTCCGCTCGCGCGTTCCTCTAGGGTGAGGATGGGTCAAAACATTAACGATGGCGGGATATAGAGTTGGCTGCACGGCGCATTTGTAAATGAAAACGTTGCGAGTTTTTAGACAGCCGGAAGATAGTCAGCCCCAGTGTGGGCGTTTGGTGTCTCACCTGCAGATGGAAAATTTAACCGTTGCAATACCACTGCTAGTCTTTAGCATGCATCAGGCAGTAGTGATACACGACCGCACGCCGCTGCTTATCCAGATCAAAATGGGCAGGGGTGGGGACTGAACCAATACCAAAGACAACGCCTACTCGCATGAAATCATCGTTTGTGGATCATCGACCCGGTTTAAGCGGCAAACATGCGTCGAATTTCGAACCTTCTGCCGCAACAACGACTTTTTTTACGGCGTCTTTCGACACCGAAAGAGTCGTCCGCAAAATATACATTCGATTCTGATCCGGCATAGGTAGTATAGAGTACGTGAGATCCCTTACTCGTGAAGAGTTGCGTGGACTTTGGCGAACCAGGCGCTGCGTTTACCTTCGAGCACGGTGTATGTCGCTACTACGTGTGCTTTTGACTTCCTTTGTTTGTGTTTTCCGTAAGTTGCGCACACGGGGATGGCATCTTACGCAATTCCTTTTGGCAGTGTCTTGGTGGTTTTAGAGCAGGGCCTAGAAACCGGGCTCCTAAAGTGTCGAATATCTGGCGCTGTATATTTCCTGCTATCTTTTTATCGTCTACACACGCAAGCCGCGTGTAGAAAAGGATAAATGTATGTTTGGTTTCAGACTGGATGTATCGCGATATACATGACAATGGCGACGAGGGGAACCAGCGGACAGGCGACTCCACGGCCAAACAAAACATGGATCTCGCCGAAAAAAAAAAAAAAAAAAAGTTTAGTTGATAAGAATGTTAGAGAACAAATCGAAAAATACAAAAATAGTGCAAGATATCTTCGAAGGGCCTGATAGGGAACAATGTGGACATTGATTTGTGAACACTAAAACAAAATTCAAAATGGCGTTTTTTTTTGTTTTTTTTTTATTTTAAAATGTTGCAAATTTAGTAATTTGCCTCCATCTGAGTTATTTTTCGGGAAATATAAGAGCTTTCAATTTGAATGAAAACCTGTTCGGTTATTGTACACATGCCTCCCAATACCATCGAATAATCTTAAGTTTCCGGAATTTTTAGGTGCATTTTAGGAAAGCTTCGAATTCGGACAGTTTTGCAATATGCGTCATGTTTCCGATCTTTTATTACGATATAACGACTCTTTGTAAACAATAAGGAATATCGTACTCGCTTAATTGTTATTGT